TAGATTTGTGTACCCTTCCCTGTCTTTAGCTGTAGATAATCACACTTCCAAATATATAGTTAAGATTCTTCTTGATTTTATTTGGAGTAATAAATCTCACAAATTGAAGAAATATGTTTTAGCAAACAAAAGGAGTGATGGGGGTCTTGAAGTCCTGAATTTTGATGATACTAACAATACATTTAAAATTAATTGGTTAAAAAGATGTTTGCTTGGGTCAGATTCTACAGTATGTGGTATTTTATCCCTAATAATATATTTAAAAGGGTAGGTGGCCTCTCTTTTTTGATGAAATGTAATTACTCCACTGGTAAATTACCTATTAAATTGGCTAGATTTCATCAACAAGCTCTGTTAGCCTGGAAACTGGTTTACAACCACAACTTTTCCCCACACAAAACCATCTTATGGAATAATTCAGATATTAAAACTAGAAATAGATCAGTCTTTTTTGATAAATGGTTTAATAAAAACATAATTTTTGTTGCTGATCTATTCAACTCTAATGGCGATTTGTTATCTTATGAATGCTTTATGAATATCCATCAATTTCCCGTTCCGTTTAAAGATTTTAATTCTGTTATAAAGGCAATTCCTGATGGATTAATATGCCTGATGAAAGCTTCCCTCACCCATGAGTCATGCTCAAAACAACTTTCACAGTTATGTTTGTGAGGTGTTTCGCTTTTAAGTAAAGAATGTAATAATTCATTTATTCGTCAACTTTCTCAATCTCGAAACTCAATTTCTCCAAAAGGGAAATTTTTTTGGGGTTCTAAAATAGATAACATTCAATGGAGGAAAACATTTATATTACCATATAAATACTGTATACCCAATAAAGTGAAAAGAAGTGCATTTTAAAATTTTGCATAATATATACCCTTGTAACACTGTTGTGTCGAAATTTTGTGATGTAGCTGATATATGCACCTTTTGTAAAAAAGAAAGTGAAGATATTTGTCATTTATTTTTCTCTTGTAATGTTTCATCACTTTTCTGGAAAGATTTGAGTTCCTATTGTTTTTCTAAAGTTAATATGAACTGTAATTTACACATTAAGGATGTTTGCTTTTTTGAAAACCAAAACAAATCTTTAGAATCTGCTGTTAACTTTCTTATCCTTGTGGCAAAATTCTATTTTAACAAACAAAGGTTTCTTAAGAAAATACCTACGTTTATAGATTTCTTATGTGAAGTAGAACATTTAATTAAATCACTAAGAGTAATTAATAACAAAAAATTTATTTATTTTTTTAAGAGATATGATGAGATCTTTCATGTACCGTGATTAATACTTGTTTTGGTGTTTTTTTTTTTTTGTTTGTTTGTTTTTTTCTTTTCTTTATTTGTTCTGTTCCTGCCTTTTATGTTCATAAAAAAGCTGTTTAAATGCATCTTTCTCTTTTAACAGTCATCATCAACTTCTTTTTTTTTCTTCTCTTCTCTTCCATATGTTCAGATGACATTGGATGTATTGTTGATACATTATGTGTAATGTATGCAAAGTTGTTTTTAATTAATGTCAACTCTGAATTGTTTGCAATAATAATAAAAAATAAAAAAATGTCATGAAGGAAAAGTTTCAATATCTCGCCTTCGCTTTCATTTGGGACCATCTCCAAAAAGACATGAAAAAACTAAACATATGATTTACAAGTTTAACATGCGTTTATAAAAGTAGGAAATAATTAGTGTTCTTGAAATACGAAATGGAGGTGGGTCCGGACTGAATTCCCTCCGGGCATCGTTTTAAGGTTATAAAATAAAACTTAATTGAAAATCGGTAAAGTTACTCACTCTGATTGCTGTCCATGTCGTCCATCTTTAGTGATCCAATTCGGTAGGTGGCGCTGTTACAAAAGAATAGGGTCCTAGAATCTCCGGTTGTGCAGGAACATACTATTGGGGGATCAGTGTTGTGTTTTGAATTTTTTTTACACGAGAGAGCACTAAGTTTACTTGTCGGAGAGCAGCGGGCAAACAAAAAATGATAAAGGACATTCTTACTTGGTCTTGTAAGTATCTGTGTTTTCGTTTTGACATGTGTTCATTATTTATATTATTTGTTATCATGTTTAGGAACAGTGACATTTTAGTGAAGGAAGCAGATCGTAGTTGATAGTGATCCGTGACTAGGCCCAAGGTTCAGCACGCATGTGTTCAGAGGATTAATTGCAAAATTTAATAGAGTAAAAGTTTTATCATTTGTATGTGTTTACAAACTCAATCGATTTTAAAACAGCGCAAGAAGAGCAAAGAGCAAACAGCAGATATCCAAATATCCAAAATGTGCAGTGCTGGGGAGGTCCCAGGAACACTAAAAAAAACAACAACAACAATTAGGTTATCATCATACGTTGTGGTCATGTGACTTTTGATATCCAATGTGTTCCATACCGAATGTATTTACTTCAAAAGAATCTACAGTATGTTAATGTAATTAGTTGTAATTAATGAAATGTATAATTAAAACATTATAATGTGTTCATTTGTTTTTGGTAGCATGTCGCCTGGAAATGTTTCCTTTTATAGGTTGTGGGGTATAATTAGGTAAATTTTTATTTGATTGATTTACAGGAGGAAAAAATCTATGTGAAGGAACAAAGCAAACTTTTATGGGATGCGTTCTTTTACATAGCAGGGCAAGTCATTTAAAGTCCCCCTGTAGTGAAAATCAAGTTTTTATGTTGTTTATTTGTCTATGTGGTGTTTTTAATATGCTTTTAGACAAACCATGTGCCAATCTATTAATCAACACCATTGCTGAGTATTTTCTACGGTGGCCGAGAAGTGCAAAACAAATCACAATTCTGAAAACAAAATAACAAATCACAAGCGCAAATGCAAGTCTAAAAAACAAAACAACAATTCAGAAAACACAACAACAATTCAGAAAACATTATAACAAGTCAGAAAACACAATGACAAATTCGAAAACAAAATAACAAGTCAGAAAACACAACGACAAATCCGAAAACAAATTAACAAGTCAGAAAACACAATGACAAATCAGACAAACCGGAAGAGGTAGGTATAGTTTGAGACAGCGCCATTGGTTTGGGATTACTCACCGCTGACTGGACGAGACATCTGTCAATCAACGTATACAGGAAGAACCAGCCGAAGAACAGCAGAGTCATGGTAGAAAGTTCGGAGATGGTATTAAAGTAGCTCAGTTTAAATGTATTGTATGAATTGCCCTTACTATGGAATAAAAAATACGGAGTGTATATTTACATTTAGTTAAAAGTGTCTGAAAAACATCAGCTCTAGTGGCGCAGATGGTTAAGTGTTTGACATTGGCTTTTTGATGCGATTGACCCGGGTTCGATCCCGCC